TATATTATTGAATATATATATATATTCAATAATTCAACTAGATTCTAGCTTAAAATGAACTATTAAACACTATTAACCAACAAGGAGCAGGAGGTCTGGTGCAGAGGTCAAAAAACAGGAAAACAGATTAAGAAACGTATGAGAACGAAAGAAGAAATAGTGTTTGGGGCTGGAGAAGAGTTTTCCAGGAAGCCCCACACATGGTCTTCCCTCTCCATCGACAGAAAGCATCCTTCCCAGCATCAGGTTCACATTGTGTCTCGATACGCTATGCTGCCCTTTGACTCCCTTTGGCTGCAAAACCAATTAGACCATCCAGAGCTGCTTAAACATACACAGACGTGACACACACAAACTCATATCCGTGTGAGTTTAAACACAGTTCACATGGCGACATCAGCACAAACCGCCAAAACATCGAGAGGTGTGCACAAGCGGACGGGGAAAATTAATCACATTATGATTAATATTCCCTAAATGTCTCGCAGGAAATATGGATCACTTGAGGCGCATCAGACACATAACGCTGGTTAGCGGTTTCCTCATGCTAATTCTATCAGTATGGAAGCCCGTTCTGCACACATGTGACACGCATCCACATAAGTGGGAGATTCATTGCCGTGTCTTTATAAGAGACACATGTGATGTGGCCATATGGCTGGAAGATTCATACGTTTCCTGATTATAGCAGATTATGTGAATGGAAAGCACAAGTAGCCCTTGTTGGTGGCCACACGAGTGGGCCGTGGGGTGGGATGGGGGCGGATGGCAGCTGCAGGGGTGGGAGAGATTTAGTCATCGGTTAATTGAAGCTTGATTACACTGCTTCCTTCTTTATATGCGCATTAAATTAAAGCGGCAGACAATCAGGACTGACTCCTCTATCAGCGCTTCTAATTATAAAGCGTCAAATTCCAGCAGCGCTTTCCTCAACAGAGCCGCGTTGACCTCCTTTGGAGAGTGAATGATGGGAAATCTCTGGACCTTCGCTGGAAAGACCGAGCTGCTATTTTCATCACATTTTCTAATGTTACACTTTCTTTTAAGATGAAAACCTGCTATAATGCAAGTCACATTGTAGAAATTATTCACATCTCCTAATTTACCCATAATATAAATGGGGGCACATTTCAACAATAAAGTATAAAAACAATATACTTTCTTAAAATTATTAATGTAACATTACATAATATTATGAAAAAAAGGCTATTAAAATCTATTTAAAGGATGTTTAATGTTTCACACTTAAGTGCACTTCATAGTATTTTAAAGTAGTTTACCATAAAGTACATTTGGCAGTAAACCTTAACCATGTGAAATTTTATATAAAGATGTCTTTTTAAGTTAAAGGGTTAGTTCACCCAAAAACATACACTGTCATACACTGAAGCAGTTCTGGCGGATGACGTAGCACGTATGCGCAGCGCGCGCGCCTCAGAGGTATGCTAGTTTCGCGAGTTTGTTTATAGGAGCAAAGGAAGCAAAGTTTCCTTACTTTAACAAAGGAAAACCAGTCTCCTCTTGGTTTATATCAAAATCCTCCGACATTTTTCTTTGCAAATCCTCGGTTTGTACTTCTAATTCGTGATCGGCGTTTTGTTTTGTTCTCTCTCCGCGTTCGTCACTAATCACGCAACGCCGACGTGCTACGACATCAGCCGGAACGGCTTCAGTGTATGACAGTCTGCGGAAGTGAGAGAAAAGTGTTTATTACATTTGAAATATGGATATTTTTCTTTAAAAAACACATGGATTCGCTACAGAAGGCCTTTATTCACCCCCTGGAGCCGTCTGTGGCACGTTTTATTATGAATGCGCAAGCTTTATTTGATGACTTGTGGACTGTTCAACTGCAACACCCGCTGACTGCAATGATAGAGCTTGGAATAGCTAGGACAATTTTTAATATAACTCCGACTGGATTCGTCTGAAAGAAGAAAGTCATATACACCTAGGATTGCTTCGAGGGTGAGTAAAACACAAGCTAATTTTAATTTTTGGGTGAACTAACCCTTTAAGTCAAAAAATCACTCTTAATTTCAACTAAATCATGCTGCGTTTCCACCGTCGGTCCAGAAGCTCCGCAGCACTTCACTAAAATCCGCCCTTAACATGCCTCTTTGGAAAAACATCACGCAACCCCATCATTTCACTAACAAAGAGCAGGTTTATCAGAAAACTAATCAGAAATAGATCACTGGAACTACCGAGATCACAAAACAAACATGATAAAAGCAGCCGTTTGTTTGCATTTTTTTGTTGTTTACTTGAAGATTTAAAACCAAAGCATGAATGTTTTACCAGTTTTACAATAATAAGTGATACATTGATCATAATCAATGAATTTGTCAGGCCTGAAAATTTGAAGTCCCAATACATTGTTATATTTTCAGTCAGAGAAACAGAGGGAGCTCCCGAACAAAAACTATGATTATGACATATTTGATGACATAAGCAGAGCTATGAGCATCAGACAGTCAGGTATAAAGAGACGATACTTACTGACAGATAAAATATGCAACTAAATAAATACACGACTGTGATAGCCTATAGACTCGACTCGGAGAAACTCTTCCTTTGTTCAACCACTCCTCAAACCCGAGCTGGACCGCTTTGGCCCAAGGTTTTCGGCGGGCCAAAAAACCCTGGCCGCTGGCCCCGAGGAAGCCCTGAGGAGGCACAATCAAGCCCCGGAAGTGACAGTGGAAACTACCATCAAATGTTTGGTAACCAACATTATTCAAAATAACTTCTTTTGTGCTCAACAGAAGAAACAAAACTCATACAGGTTTGGAACAACTTGAGGGTGGGTAAATGATGGCAGAATTTTCATTTTTGGGTGAACTGTCCTTTTAGAAAGATATAGTTATGGCCAAATTTTGAACTCTAGGATTCATACAAGCACAATTTCGTTATTCTGT